CAATATCTAGAAGACAATTTACAGTGAACTGATACATATAGGTTACGGTATCTGAACCGAGTTCGGCTTAGAGTGTGCCGAAAGTACGATGTACCATGTACTATGCAGGTGATTCATGTTCAATGTCGGGTAGTCTGATGATCAATGGACGTTTCGATTATCCGTGGGATTCCCTTTCTCAATACAGGTTTCTAAAAAAATGCACTTGAGAACGGTTATCCCCAGGAACCAAAAAGTCGGCTGATCAGCAACACTCCCTGTAATGCCCTGATGAGCTTACTCCTTCGAAATAATTTTTAAAACCACGTTTAGATCTAGAAATTTGTTTTCGTTAACGAATGAAATGATACTGGACGTGGACGCATTTGTGAGTAGGAGAAACACCGCTCTCAATGTTTCGTTACATTTCAGCTGGAAATATATTTCGAATATATCGTAGCAACGAGCTTCAGCACACTCACGTCTAAGGTATGGTGTGAGTCGCTTGTGGATGAACGTGGTCTGTGTTATTTACGCCATTATATGAAAGGAGTGTACTTAGTTATTTTGTTGTACACAATTTAAAGTTGTAAGTACATTTTCAGTAGTCATGTATGATGCAAAGAAATTTTCAGAATACTTGTGAATAAAAGACATTTCAAGACATAGACATTCGTGATTGCGGTTACCTTGCATTTTACCAGATATTCGCAAGTAGTAAAAATAACATGGACGCATGGAACATCAATACCGGAAAAATGAAAAGTGATGCGCACCCACTCCTTTTTCTTGAGTCGATTTGCAAAAAGATACTCGAGAATAAGATCACCCATAGTTTCCCCTATATAGACCCCTGTGGATGCTATGCTACCTATATGAGACTTTCAATGCAAATCAAGTTCAAAGGAATTAAATTAATTTTCTCATAGGAAAACACAAAATCCAACTACAACCAGATGAAGGAACTAATATATTCAGGCATTGAGCATTCAGACTTGCATGTCCAACAATAGGTTCATAATCGCTTTCTGTTGCTAGAATCAATTTGGCAAACAAATTAAGGTCTCGAGACAACTGATAACACCATGACAACTCAATAATCAGGCCGCTTACTGCTGATGTCTATCTATCATATCATTTGTCTCTCATCGGTACAATGCTCAGTCTCACCCATTCTACCTCCTCCCTCCTCCACATCATCCATCTTTTTGTTTTACACACCGCTGCACCCTCGCGTTACCCATTATCTTCTCTGGATAGACTCTCACCCATCTCCGCTTGGTCTCACACGTGGTTGTTGGCATTCTGATTGGTTTGCTCTATTTTCGCATCGGAAATCTCGGCAGCGAGGTGATCAGTAACGCAGCGTTCATTTTCTTCAGTTTACTTTTCATCATGTTCGCAGCCCTCATGCCGACTGTGATGACGTGTGAGTTTATGCATAGATAAGCTTGATAATGTTCTTGCAATTGCAACAATTGAAGCCAATCATGCTTGCATAGACCCACACCTTATATTGAAGAGATAAGCTAGTCACGAGTAAAACTCTATTGCCCCAGTATGTCAGTATGCATCCCAATCGCCAAGGGTTAGTGGGAATAACCAAATCTCATTATGGTGACACATTGTTCTTATCGAACTATTTCCTTATCTGTTCCTGATTGGCGTACATTTTCCAGGTGCTAGTCAAACGATTCGCAAGATTTATCCCGATTTATTGTCAAAATAGTGATATTTGATTACAAAACAACCAGTCCATGGATCTAAGCGTACGCACCGAAACCAAAACTTGATACAGTTGCATTCCATTACATATGCAGAGGACTAAATATTACATTTTAGGAAGTTTCGTTTTTTATCCCTATCGGTATTTTAGAAATTTGGAAGATTATTTACTCTCCTTCCTATGACGGCTTGGATAGTTTATGAGGGTTTCTTTAAGATCATGTCGTTTCACGGACATGCAGTGGCCCCGGTTTTATTTGGAAGCTTATGGTATGCTGTCGAACAAACATGTCTACAACAAAAGAGTGCATTCACTATTCCATCTCTTTGGATACAATACACAAATCCACACAACCTTGTGAATTAGACCGATTTCTTCAATAATCCCTAAATCATAGAGACGGAATATTTTCCGTTCACAGAAGAAAAAGTTATCTTAGCATATCCTAGGCCGTCTCATTGATTAGGTTCGACCTCAATTACTCCCAATCTGCCTTGAACACTTGTTGAGATGTTTGATGAGATGCGGTTGCTGATGTATGCCTCAGTTTCTTGGAGCCATGAATAACCAGGACAAAGAGTAGAAATTGAAAGAGCGGAATTTAGCTAAGGGATACGTAGCTTTATTAGCTCAGAACAGGTGTCCCTAACAAATATTCCCTGCACACCTGAAATTGGAATCTATAAATTCAATCAAATACAGGCCCAAAGGACTTAATGGATATTNCATACTATCGCGTCATTCATAATCAAAATGAGATGCGGTCGGGGACTTGACAGTAATTTTTAACTGGTTATAATAGATGAACCTATTTTAGGATGTGTATTCACCCAGCTCTGAACAGTCTATAAGAACTTTGTGTTGCATGTTTGCGCACTGAAGCTTCATATGGTTGAGCACTACGGAAATAAGATCTGTGGAGCAACATTCGCCATACGGAGTCTGGGGCGACATTCACCGGTGAGAAAGCTTTCGATCACGTTTTCTCGGCATTTATAATGCCAAACAGATCACTCAAGAGATTTCGCATCTCGAAAAACTTTCGTCATTTCGATGATACCTTGTACGTATACGAGTAAGTCCCGTTTGATACTTCCTGCACTAATTTTTTTTCATGTACACGTTTTTATTCTCCCAGGGCTGAGACAGAAGAAAAAATAGGTTGAATGATTCGACTAACATGTGACAAACACTCCACCGCACCGGCTGTATCTGGTTGTCAACATGTTTTGCAATTTCTTTAAATATCAGACCGCCCGAGATCGCTCTAACCGTGGTCACGCGATGTATCTGAAAAACTTCGGTACTGAATTAAGTTGGTTTCTGAAAATGATATTTGGAGTATCAGTCCAAATTGGACACATGAAACATTGGCTACGGATTCAGCACACAGCACATCTAACAGTCATGTTGTGAACAACAATTCAGTTCTCATAAAATGAATGGTATACGTTCAACGTTACACTGACCCCGAATAAATCATAGTACCAATTCACGTTATGTACTGCATTTCGTTCTGGTCCCACGAACCCCTTCTTCGGTGTGATAAACATTTACGCATACAGCGGATTTACTCTGCCTCGGTCTCTCTATTCCATCCTGATTTAGAATGTGGCATTCGAATGACGATTAATATTTCATGGAACAAAATAAAATAGAGAATTTTAATTTCTCCCTGAAAATATGTCGGAAAATTTTGTGGTATCTATACTTGATGGCCAATACTTAAATTTGTGAAACGGTATAAGCCCCACAATGCAATTCCCAATAGGATCCTTTGCGAAAAAATATGCAAATAATTCACAAGGCGCAAAGCGAAACTGCGTTATCTGGTTCCTGCAGCGGTAAGCTCGCTGGATCGTAGACATCTAGATCCAGAAACGTGGCAGGCTTGATTCAGTCATCTGGTAAACCACTCACGAAACCATAATTGGTGTCTTTATGCTCATATTCAACCATTACCTGTATCCACATTCTTTCCTCATCGAGGAACATTAACGGGTAAAATACGCGACACACAATGACGGACCGTCCCAGCTCACGAGTGTGGATCCAGTGCAGCAGTACCCAACGGCGGCATCCTTGCCAACTGGACATAGTTCACCCCTGCTGGGCTAATTATCTCTCCATATGTATGCAATATTCACATCTGGGTTGATGTCTCTTATCGTCCTCGAACATTGACTACATCTCAGTCCCAAAAATGGTGACAAGTTATAAAGCTGCGCCAAAGAACTAATAAATCGCTGTGACTGGCAAGTTGAGGTTATCCACCGAGTGCAAAAATACAGCGTTCATGTAGAGGCAACCAAAACTTTCTTAGGTGACAAAAAATTGTCCTTCGAAGTATGATGCCTGAAGTTCAAATGAAAACCTACTGGAATAAATACTAGTTAGAATGCTTTAGTGATAGACTGATTAGTGAAAGAATAGTCGAATTGATCAGCTGACAAACAGGCTATTGGGAAATTTGAATCTATCATTGACTACGTACTACTCTCATGAGCTTCATTAAGCCAGACACAATGGGTTCGAACTAGACAGCCTCATACTAACTGACTGATACTAATGTGAAAAAGGAGATGTTGTTGGTTATTTTAATTTCACGAGTTTTATCGTTTTCCAGTTTTATGTATATTCAGCCTAATGATGAATTGTTTTGCAAGTAGGATACTGCAAGATGATTGTTCTGGTTCCGAGAAGGTAGCGCGTTGAATATTTTAATGGCATTAAAAAGAACTTTTTAACAGAACTTACGGTAATTTTAAAATGTTTACGGAGAGCTTAATATGTATGTCTCCGACTTTTGAAATCTACAGTTCCACTGGAAATGAACATATTCGTGCGGGAACATATGAACTATTGGTACAGTTTAAAAGCTTATTATCTGGCAAAGTCGTTTGCGGATGTTCCATTCCAGGTGAGAACTGTCATTGCTGGTGTATTCAGGCGCTCAAAAGCAACAAAAATAGCGTCCTGTTAAATGAACAACCTATAAGTTGTCATCATCTATCATCATTATATCGTTTCAACTCATAACACATCCTTAAATCTATAAACTGCCATTTACGCTCAAATTTATCGGTATTTGTCAACCAGTATCGGACGCATAAACCAAATATCCCTTCTTTAAATGCTTTATATACTGTAAATGTTCATGTTTTCATAATTCGATTCCTTTACGATTGGAATTTTGATCATAATTAATATCATTCATTGTAATTATTAATTATATTATTAATTTAATTCACACCTATGTGAGTTTCTTGGTACACACATTTCCATCGTTTGCCCCTCAGACAAACACACAGGTTGCCCGAAACCAAGCAGCAGGATTCCCTTAGTGATCAACCATAGGTGCACTCGACTGGCCTACGTGAGACTCACAAGGAAGAAGAACAGTGTGTGAGAACCACAACTCATTCGGGGACGGTGTCTAATCAGTCCCGTCACACATTCTTCTAGTATTGTTCACTTGTCCAGGGCGACCAGTACTTCTGGGTCACCCAAACGATCCGATTTCCAGGATGTTCAGGAACGAATGTTTACGTCACTTCATGGGAACATTAGAATTGAAGAATCAGCCCCCTCTAGATAGGCTAGCATTTCATGACGTACCAATTTGGTTAGTGCCCTGATGCGTTTTTTTGTCTCTGGATTAAGTGAATCGCTCTCGCTACAGAAATTAACATTAAAAAGCGTCTCAGTGGTAATGAGACTTTTCTTACATTCAGAGAAGCTTGCTGTGAAAATCATAGCTAGCATATACATTCACGGTGGAAACGATGGTTCCATGGATTGCTTAATTTGTGAACTCAATGATGTCGGTAACTATAATGAGGTTATTTCCTCTTGTCATCAGTGCAACAGTTTATATAGGAATCACTTCATTGCCGCTCCTAGTTGTGAAATACATCGTCGAGGTTTTCTCCGTTTCTCTCTCTACTTCATACCATTTTCTGTTGTTGGTTGTGGTCTGGTCACGCTCTGAATTCCGTCATTNGGAATTGGTTTGCTGTACCAACTACCTTACAGGGTTCCCAGCAAATCAGAAACGCCAATTTGTAAAACCAAAAGATATTTTGCGTTGAGCGGTGACATATATGATATCATATGATAAATTTACAAGTGAACTAATCACATTTCAGGTTCAGAAATCCTGATTTTGACGTTTTCTGTTGATAAACATATTATACGGTGTGGATTCTTTTCTCACATATCACTGATTGGCTAAGTGGAATTTGGAGGAATCAAACGGCTATATAGTCCCCTGTTTGTTTATCCTCATATCTTTTATATTTAATATTTGTTGCATGCATTATTCTGAGTGCGTAAGTTACTCAATCAATAAATAAATGTAGTGCTCCTATTTTCATATTACCATAACATGAGAAACGGGCACCAAATCACACTTTTCCTACAAATAAGTCATCCTTGTTGAATGTTTACCTGACAAGCAGTTTATTGAACTGAGATTTATTTACCTAGTTTTCCTGTGTTATTAAAGAATTTGATACATTCGCTTATCGAGTCTTTGATGCCTCATCCAGCAATCCATCGGGAAATATTTTCAACTTCAGAGAATGAATGAAAACCCTGTTCAGTATAAGTGCATAAAGAGACGAATGATAAGGATCAAACCCCTGAAGCTACCAGTGAGTGAAGCATCAGAATATCTTTGAATCAATAGGCCATTTTTGTTTAGCGCATGTCATCTTACATTCCTTGAAAATCATACTTGAACATCTCACTTATCTATCCCCGCGCCCCCTGTGTAGGTGTTTTTCCCCATTGTGTACAGCAGTATTGTCTATTGGATGACTGAACAACCTGCGGATTTTCTGCGATACTTTCTGTTTTTACTCATATCCATACAAACCTCACTTGTGGGGCAATCCTTGGGTCTGGTTATCGGTGCAGCTACCTCACTACAGGTAAGTCAATCGTTTACCTTCAGTTGGAATTTGTGTGCACTTACTCTTCCGTGATTTGATTTGCACAAGCCTCCAGTTTCCATTCAGAAGGATCATAAAACTTTACTTAGTTTTATACAGGACAATGAATAGGAACCAGAATTTTCACAGTCTATCCCGTCTCTGTGAATAGTTTTTAGGCAACTCATCCGTCTTGAATCACGTGAGGTTCACGTTGAAACCTCCCTCATGCAATACTACACACACTACTGATGTCGTAACATTAGCTGATAGAGAGATATTTATAAATGCACAGCTCAAACTCAGCCAACAAAAAGGAAAATGAATGTATTTCGTACTGTTTTACCATCCAGTCTATTTAATCCATACATTGTTTGTTATAACCGGCCTTGTTGATCATTTTATTTTCCATATTTGCAGCATCTAGAGCTGAATAGTAATAACCTGTTTATGTGAGTTGTCGGGAACGGTTATTCACGCTCGTTTTACACACATTTAACCAAAAATCAGAATAATGAGTCACTGGTTAGAGTATTACTAGCAAAACATTTTCCTAGGAAAACTTGTAAGAAAATGCCAAAACTGACGGATTCCAGCCACCACGATTCCAATAGTTTAGCGATCATATGCTTTGTGCTTAACTTGTATAAACGATAGAAGGACGATAAAATGATTCGAGGTGAAAAGACGGTTAAGCTTATAAAACTAGTGGTACGGTGCAGGGATACTGATCAAAAGATTTGAACAGTAAATCGTCGGATATCTCACAATGTCACTGAAGACGTCCGCCCTAAAGAATGAAAGAAAATTGACAGTTGACAAATATGCTAAAATCATTGTACGGAATCGGGATGCAAAGAAGAACACCATGTTGTAATAAACAGTCATCTACTTAATTTTCATTGGCTGGCGTTCATTGTTTCAATAATTCGTTTCACATCATTTGACCGGTTATCTTGGAACCATTAGAATATGCAGGATTTTCACCCGTGCTTGCAGGCGCGTATTGCATATAACACATAGACGTACTTCCTGACTGGCTATGATGTTTCAACTAGGTCGTAATAGACCGGCCTTAATTCCTGATAGCATAAGCTCATATGGTTTAAGTGTACACAATTTATCTGATTCTCTCCTTCTATACGAACAGCACATATTTTGATAACAAACCAGTCTGTTTATGAGAATCCTCCTGGTCAAGTGCTAGCTCTCCGTCAGTTAGCTCTCTCATTCCAAACCACTATTGGATTTGTTGAATGCTCAAAGGCAATGTTATAGTTGCACGTAATGCCCTGCATCTTTTGAAGTCGTTTAGGGTTCACTCTTCCATGTGACAGATTGCATTTAAGACGTGAAACATTGGTCATCAGTAGTCGCACATGTACACAAAAAACGTTGTTCCGGTTATCACGGATTAGAAAAAGTCTAGGAGTTTGTAATCAAGCCTATCGAGTTATCTCAGCTTCAGAAAACGATCTGGTATACACTTCCAATGTATTGCACATTATATTCTGAACCATTTTATGAATGGGTTTTACTACTTCAACTTTTTATACTTGTAAGGAATCGTTTATAATCGCTCAATTCATATCACTCCAAGTTGTTACTTTATTTACCCAACTGCATGGATACTTCACATAAAATGCTTACAAACCCAACTTTGTCACGCAGTCTTAGTGGTCCAGTACTAAGAACACGTCTCCTACTAGCTGCCGAGTTATTTTTAATGTAGCCTTTTAGAAAACCTTTGACACTAATGAACTTGCACGTTCGGGGTCGATCCCTCGTAAATTTTAGGATTGGTATAAAGAATGAACCAGTTCTTTGGTGTTGTCTATGTTTTACACGACTATATGTAATACACAGTGTAGAAACATACGCACAAGATATATATTTATATATGTATATACATATTTGACAAGAGAGAGAAAACAGTCAATAGTCTCTATGGATATATATGCATATATATATACATATCACAACAAAGAATATGGTACGCTATTCGGATCGAACCTGGACATCATTCCAACATTATCCAGATTGTTTTATCATTGTTCATCATTCTTTATTTGCTTTGTCTCCCTTCCCCCCTCCCACCCCACCCCACCCCCCACCCCGCATCACGCTTTTACGTTGCCGCCTATCTCGATGAAAACGTGCCTTCAACACCAAAATCCACCCAGGTGGCCGTCTTTCTGGGCCCAGTGACTGGCATTCCAATTCTTTTGTTTTCTGGATTCTTCCTCAGCTTGGACCTAATACCAAAGTATCTTCAATGGTTGTCTTATATTTCGTTCACACGATACTCATTCTCCGGCGCACTCAAGGTGGGAAACAAGTGTTTTGAATCAAAGATTTTTCTTTTTATTGCAATAATTCAATCTAACAAATGGATGATGAATATAGTTTATAATATTCATTTTTATCACACTTAATCCGATTGTGCGCATCTGGTAATGCTTCATTCTCGAATTCGACAATCTGATGAGAACATGGTAGGCCCAACTAAATTGCTAATCCATCTGTTATCTACCGCACGAATAAGCACAATGTGATCTTTCCCATTTAGATAGCTTACAACTTTGGAATAATTCATTTTTCGTAGATTGAGTGTGTGTGTATACACCTTGCTGTCAATCACCCGTTTATCCTCAACTGCATAACACATATTGAATCCTATTGTTTATTATTTTATTCAAATATCTAATCACAAAGAAAGATTGAACTCCCTGAAGTTGCGATGTCCTGCAGAAACAGATAATACTGCGGGGGTTGGTGTCAACTAGTTCTTATTTGATACCAGACGTGTCCTATCAGAGTCCATGATGACAGCCCACATCAAGTCCCAAGTTCATGTGCCCGGTTGCAATAAGTGAATAACAGCGGCTCTTGGAATTTATACGTATCATCTTTTCCACCATTCATCCTAAAATAGTGGTGATATCAAATTACTTTCCCGTTTGTTCAAGACCGTTGTATCGCATGTTGCGTCATAGGAAGCATTTGAAGATGTAGATAGTCATCATTTTTCTATAAGGATTAGAATTAATCAAGAAGATTCATTGTAGTCAGAGAAATGGAGCACAAGCATTGAACATTTTAAATCATTGTTCGCAGTCTGAAGTTTCATCTCGGTTATAACTGCTTGGTTTACCTTTTGTTCCCGAATACAGATCATCTACGGTCTCAACAGAACCACACTGGATTGTACACGTCGTCGCAGCTCGAAGTTCTCTTTCCCGTGTGTGTCCGATGCCGGTGTTGTTCTTGACGTGATGAATGTGAACGAATACGGCATGTACTTTGACTTTCTCATTCTGTGTATCATTTTCCTGTTTCTTCGCTTGCTTGGTTACTTCATCCTCCGATGCCGTATCCGAGGGCAACACTGATTGGACTACTTTTGGTGTACGAGCTATCCCCAAAACGTCTACCCCGTGACAGAAAAAAAGACGGATTGGAAGCGCTTAACAAGATTAGTTCTCCCCACATCACCAGCGTCTTGACAAACAGAAAATAATAGAAATAACTAAAACAATAATAGTATTACCGATACGTATTTTCTTAATATCGAGCTTCTATGAATCCATTTTCATCTGACTGTGTTTCTGTGTGACAGTGCAGGCAGTTATTGTGTGGGTGCGTGCGACCATGCGTTCGTGTGTATGTGCGCGCGATTCTTATCCCACTCTGGGGAATTTCCTCTACCCATTATCTATCAGTTCGGATGTTTCCTCTACCCACTGAAATAGTTTTCTCTCTTGGATAATCAACTCACACATACACACACAAATATGAGCCAACCGTCCAGTTGTCATTGTTCTATCTATGTGACTCAACTCATCTGTACAGAACAGTCATTACACATACCTTCAGACTGAATTAAGTAAAGCTTAATCCAAGATGTATCATCTCCTGGCATCTAATCATCTGACACACAGACGCACCCGACACACGGTCACATACATTTATAAATACATACAAAACGTTATTACTAAGTTCCTTCTTTTTCAAAGTATATATGCATATATATATATATGTAACTGTCAGTGCATCATACATATGGTTCATCAATTCGGCTTATTTATGAACAGACATGGTTAAATAGCGATTTATCCGACTTTTGCTCCATCCACCCCCGCCACACAGACTAATAAACAAGGACACGTACGTGGCGTATTCACTATTTTTTTACCTCTCCCTCTGGTTCTTTGTTTATCTCTATCTCCATTTTGCACTTGTTGGCCATTCTCTGTCGGAAATTATTTATCATCAAATGTATTCTTTGTTGATCTCCAATCCCCTCCTTCCCGACCGCCCTTCTCTCCTGTAATTTCATCCTCGGCTATTCTGACTTGCTCTTGCTCTTGCTCACCCACCTACCCACTCCCTCCACACATACCTCGATCAGGTGAATTATTTTCATTTCCCCTTTGATATACCAGTGAAATGAATTTATGAGTATAACAGCTCGCGATCGTGGATCAACACATGAATGTTTAGCTGAGTGATCGTGCATTAATATTGGCGAATTCTGTGAATCACTATCGCACCAAGCCATCAGACTATCGTGCTCATACTCCACACAACTTCCGCACCCCCTAGTTCACATTGTGCAACAATATCACATTGACCTTGTCCCCTTGTTCAAACGATTATGGGTTCGAATTGTCTGTCACTTCCTCCGTTCCTCTAATTGTGTTATCATTGATTCTCATCTGTTAGTTGAACAACTGAAATTCTCTCGTTGAAGAGTTCGAATGATGAGTCACTCTCACCCCTTGTTCCAATTGGAAAGCATCGTGGTTCTCGAAACTTATCATATATAACATGAAAACCTATTCCGATTGGGGCGTTTTCATTATCAAACTCCACGGGGTTGTTAGTCCCATTTTGATTGTTTTTCGTTCCGACTCACCCCCACTTCTCCATTCCCTCAGATCCTTGTCATTCTTTTGTTTTCAAGACCGTTGTGACCATAATACAACACAGACTGGTAA